ATTCTCCCAAAAACATGACACCTTGTTGCCACTTATGCTATAAAGAAACTATTTAGAATTTATCTCTAAGTAAGTGGTAACCATGGGTACATTAGGAATACATTTTAGATGCTGAAAAATGCTGAAAAAGGCTCTATAGTCACAAATGACAGATGTTACATGATCAAACTCAATCAGCAACGTAAGAAAAGCAATGAAAAATATTTGACCTTATGTAATTAAGTATTGGCAATATTATTCTAAAAATAACTTTCATGGTTGCCATGGTAACACAGTGTCACCATGCAAAATCTGTTGATATGATTGGGTTAATGCTACTATCGTGAGGAAAAACAATAAAATTCATGACTGGCATATATGCATCCTTAGGACCTTGCAACACCGAACAACATAAGGAAAATTGAGATTAATTGTTACTTTGCAGTGTAACCATGGAAACAACATACTAGTTGTTTAAAGTGATATTTTTTTGCTGCTTTAGGAATTTACTAACCTTTTAATCAAAAAACATATTATTTGAATCACCTTGAATAGTACTTATCTCGTAGAACTAAAGTTGAATATCATATATTGATAAAGGTTGTTGAAAAATACAACACTGTTGCTATGGTTACCAAGAAGAGAAAATGTTCGATTTTGTTAATTTTTTGTCAATATTAGACCCTATGTACCAGCTTTTTGCATCCAGTTAGAGATTGGGTGATAGTCAAAATTGAAAGTCAGGTTAGTTGTTCACATATATCAGTCATTAAAGTTTTGGGAATCTACATACAACGGTACGTATCCAAGGAAACAGATTATTTTTCAGATTTTTATGCATGTTTTTTCGCCTTATTTCCATAGCAACGCACTATTTAAAGAATTGAAATTGAATTTTTTGAAATGTGAAAATTAGGGTCACACCAAGGCCTTTAAAAACTGATCATCAGTTATATAGAAATATGCTTTTTAAAAAGATAGGATAAGATTAAATCACTAAGAGAATAAATTTAAAATCCCTTCGTGGTATTAAAACCATGGCAACCATTGCCAACCTATAAGAAATATCATATTTTGTCCTTGGTATATGTTACAAGGATCTCTTCTCTATTATTTGCTTGCATTTCAACCTATAATTGTTTTTATTCTTAAGTGTATGACTTTATAAAATTAAATAAACAAAATTATTACTTTTGAATACTTTGTTTCCATAGTAACGTATGTTATAGATGATTTACCAAACATGTTTATCATGCATTTAAGACACCAGGCCTTCAACTTTCAGAAACAGTCATTGCCATTTGTTTGCTTTGCTGCAAACGTTAACTGTGGGACTCTGAAGATGTTGAAAAATGCCATTTTTCAAATTTTAGGACATGTTGCTATGGTAACCATGACACGTAGCAACCAGTTTTTGCCTGATTTGAGTTTACGGTATCAAAGACTTTTATCATAGTGAGTTTGGAGAAATTCTGAGACTATGCGTGCCACAGCTCCTATATAAAAGTTTAAGTCATTACAGAGAATGGCTCTTAATTATCTTAATTTTAACTTTAATTAATAACTTATTAAAACATTATTTAAATGTTAATGTAAATTTTAGTGCATAAATATTTTATAAATCAACTTTTTTGTATTTAACCCTTTAAGTGGTAATTTTGCCTCAAGGTAGATTAAAGATTGAACTTAAAAACTGTATCTCAGATTTTTGATAAATCTTCTAATTAAAAAGTTACAACCATTTGCCCTTCAATGTTACCAATTTATTAGCCTAATTTAACATTTCCCTCAATAATTCCAAAACTAAGCTAGATATCAAAAATCTGAGATATGGTTTTGTGAACACCCATTTGAGAAGTAATCCATCCAATTTTCAGAAAAATTGGTCAATAAATAAGGGAGCTAAATCCTTTGAAATAATTCCACAAACTGTCTGATCTTACTTTACGGAAGAGGGCAAAAACCCATTACACAACAAAATCTGCCAAAGCTAGGAATATATGACACCTTGGAGATTCAGCTTTGGATACCTGTCACTTAGTCATATTTTCCAAGAATGGGAGGTTCTTTTTTGTATTTAGATGCTTTTAATTTAGTAAAATAGGTTCAATTCTGAATCAGAAAGATTTCCCGGCAAAATGGCAAGAGCTAAGCTCCACCTCCTATTTTATGGTCATCAGTGATCTGTTAGATCTTCTTCTCTAAATCTAGAGTCCCTGTAGTTTAATTACTGATAACCTCTGTGTGGCTAGAGAAGAATTCCCCAAGTGGACACAGTGATTTACATGTATTGCGTCTTTCATGAGCAGGCAGTCATAGATCAAATCAGAAGCTTCAATAACAGAATATTCACATGTGGTAGTGTTTATGTTTCATTATTGTTAATTAATTAGAAAACCATTTCATAATTACCAAAAATTTTACATGCATTATAAAGCAGTGATTAACTTCTTTTTCTTAGCCAAAAAATCTCAAAATTGTTGAAAATCTTGAAAAAAAAAGCCCTTGGTGTATCCTTAATATGGGTACCTTCAAGTGGTACGGACGGATGAACAGAACAACGTACGGACGGACAGACACCCCAATCACTATATACATCTGTTCAACACCTCTACTTTTCAAGCAGGGTGTATAATTAAAATAGCTATAATGATTATAGAGATTATTACATTGCAATTTTAAAATATTCATCCTTATTTATGTTGAAGTACTACAAGAGACCCATGGATCACAATGCTCATCTGAGTCACATTGCCATGCTGTTCTCGATAAGATTTTTAAAAGATGTCCTTCCCTCTCCCTTCCCCACATTCTTATAAGTATGACCCCACTTTATCCCTTGAAACCATGATTTGGACAAAATCAATTAAATCCTCATTACATTAAGTTGCTTGCAAGTTAATTTGAAAAAAATTATTAAAGCTAGTTAACGTTCTTACGTAATTTTCTTAAAAGACATTAAAAGTATATATATATATATATATATATATATATATATATATATATATATATATATATATATATATATATATATATATATATATATATATATATATATATATATATTATATATATGCTATGTAAACTTCACTGATACCTCTATTACTGACTAAATTACAAGTATCTTGTAAAATGGGTTAGTGAAAAGGTTTACTTTATAATTCATTTGTGTGTTTAATAGACTGTTTCACGGTATTGCGGTACTGCCCTTTTGCAGGGCAAAATGATATATTTTGGTGAAATATGACGTAAAAGTAATTGTTAAATATACGTCATATAATTAACTTCGCCAAACGTTGTTATTTATAGTATCGCAGTTACCGTGAAGGTGCTAATACAAAGATAAAATTTCTTGTAAAAATTTTCCTTTTCTCCACTTTTCTTTACTATATCCCCTCTAACTTCGTTGTGATGGGATAATAAAACATCAAAAGGTATGCATACTATAAGTCACAATTCGGAGAGATAAAATTAATGACCAGGAAGTTAAAAATAAAATAGTAAGCAGGCCATGTGACCCGACTTCTAGTAAAGAACCCAGCAGCCATTACAGTTTAACATCAGGTAATGTTTAATTTAGTTGAATTTTTTTATATTGACTAAATAACTCATAAATTTGGTATATTTAACCATTTTGCTTACAGTATGGAAAATTGATTCATGTAAACTAACAAATAAAAATATGTCTAGTTAAGGAATGAAGTGTTATGTATCGGAAAATAGGGAACATCTGGCCTATATTGAAACCTAGAAACTATTCGAATGACCTTAGTTTTTTTTTTACACTTTAATAACCTCTACATTACAACACTTTTGTCTGTACTAAAATCTCAGGGTCAAGTACATGTCAGTTGATGGGAGCAACATTTCAGTGAGCTAAGAAAGAAATAACCCACACTCTAGTTAAATGAAAGTTTATAATTTGATTTGAGCTCTGTTCTGTACAAGTTATAACACAAAAGATACTTCTGCATCTATAATCCATTAGAAAGTAAGATAATCAATTATGAGTAGTGTTGTCAAATCGGACGATTTTTAGTAACCGGTTACTCGCTTACTTTTTTGATCGAGTAGCCGGTTACTCGGATGATTTTTGTTAGTTTTCATATCTATTATTTATGTCATCCTTTACCTATTAATAATTATTTATAGAGATTATAACACAGCAGTTTCAAAATATTCTTCCTTGTATTTAATGCACTCTTTCCAACAAGAGGCCCATTGGCCAAAATGCCCACCTGAGGGTCGTTGGTCCTGCACTGCTCTTCTTCGTTTGAGAAGATTTTTAAAAGATGTTCTCTCTACCCTTTCCCAATATTCTGATTTTAAATAATAATCCCATTTTCCCCTTCTGGAGTCTTGATTTGAACAATATTGATTGAATGCTCACCTCACTACCTTAAGATGCTTGCATGTTAACTTAATTTGAATAGTATGTTACTGTTATTCTTGAAAAAAAAAAGACTCTTAATTTCTTTATAGTCTTTTGCTAAATTTTCATCCCCCATCATCCCCCATCAGAGGGTCAGCCTCAGATCTCTTTAACTTGTCTTAAACTTTCTATCATAACTCTTCTCAAGAAGGCTTTTAATTTTTTTCTATATATTCTCATGTAAAACTGATCTACAATTTTTGAGACCATCGCATATAATACTAGGATGTGGAAATTACATTTATACACCTCTAATATTGCCTAAGTTTAATGGAAGAGTCTTGTAAAATGAATAAATGCAGAAGTTTTACTTCATATTTCATTTGTGCTTTCAACACATACAATTTCCTATATTAACTTTCACTTTCCTCAATGTTGAAACTATACTCTAAAATATCGATATATTGTGTATGGTACTATTTTTCTTAAATTTTCACACCTACTATATGTAGTGTATGGACTACTTTATAAGGAGTTAGTACAGCATGCCTAGAACATGTCCTTTTAGAGATTAACTAAAAGGTCTAGCTTTGATTGATATTCTGCTGGAATACTCAAATTTTATATATACATCTACATGTATTTATACTTCAGTGTCACAAGTTTAATCATGGACCCCCATACAAGTGCCCAAGACGTGATTCGATGTGACCTGTGTAAGACGGCTGTGGTACAGATGCACTGTGATACATGTCTTGTCAATCCGTGTAAGGCCTGTGTTGGAGAACACATTTCTGCTGATCTCTCGAAACCTCATAAAATTGTTAACTTTAAGGACAGAAAATCTACCCTCCTCTACCCTGGATGTAAAAGTCATAACAAAGAACAATGTACAATGTACTGTATTCAAAGTGACATTCCTGTATGCCCTAAGTGCATTACGTCTGATCAACATCTAGGTCATAAAATATCAGAAATTCTGAAAGTTGTGGATGAAAAAAAGAATATAGTCATAAAAGAACGAAATGAATTAAATGAGACAATTTATCCAATCTACCAGGACATTGCCTCTGATGTACAAAACAGAGTGAGTCAGTTACAAAAGGAATATGAAGATCTCTCAACAGCCATAACAAAACATGGAGAGGACTTGCACAGAGAAATTGACAATCTTGTCAAGAAACTTAATGCTGCAGTTGATGAGATGAAAAACACACAGTTATTAACTCTACAGAAACATCTGGATGAAATAAACAAGAAAATTTCTGACATCAAGGATGAAATCAATTCAATTGGAATTGTTATAAAGTCAATTGACATTTCAAAACTGTTTAGTGTCACATCAAAAGTACACATATACAGAAATCTTCCACAAAAAATAGTACCATCTTTACCTAAATTCATTCCAAGAAAAATCCAAGGAGAAGAACTTAGTAAATTGTTTGGAGCCTTGTCTCCAAGTTCATTAATATCAGAAGAAAACAGATACAGCATGAAGACATCTCAGAAATCACAAGAAGCTGAATCCTCTCCTCCAGTCAAACAGCTGCTTGATGAACCAGAGATTGTTACTACCATAGACACTGGGTATGTATACCTTTACAATGTGGCCTGTCTGAGTGATGAAGAAATCTGGACAAGTGGAATTGACTGCACTATGAAACTCTTAAGCATCAGTGAGGGATCACTGCTCAAGTCAATAAGAACCAAGTCAAAAAGGTGGCCATATGACATGGCAGTGACAAAAATGGGAAATCTGGTTTATACTGATTATGATGATAGAACTGTGAACATTGCAAAGAATGATAACATAGAGGAGGTGATCAGACTACAGAACTGGAGACCACGTGGTGTCTGTCGTACGTTCTCTGGTGACCTCCTGGTTATCATGAACAGTGATGATGACGAGCATTCGAAAGTTGTCCGTTACTTTGGCTCCACAGAGAAACAAACCATTCAGTTTGATGATAAAGGTAATCCTCTCTTTTCGTCTGGTAGTTACAAGAAATACCTAACTGAGAACAAGAACCTGGATATCTGTGTGTCTGACGGGGGAGCTGGAGCAGTAGTGGTGGTTAATCAGGCCGGGAAACTGAGATTCAGGTACACTGGACATACTCCTGCTCCGAAGAACAAATCATTCAATCCAAAAGGAATCACCTCAGACAGTCAGAGTCACATCCTTACAGCTGATGTTAACAATGACTTTATCCACATCATAGACCAGAATGGACAGTTCCTCTGTTACATATACTGTGGACTGAGTGGACCCCATGGACTGTGTACAGATACAAATGACAATCTGTTTGTTGCTCAATGGAGAAACAAACAAGTGAAGAAAATCAAATATCTGCAGTGAAATACAACACTATAGATCTAATTATAATAACAAACATTTTTTGCTGAAATTACCATTATATCAATTTACTGTATGCATATTATGTAAATGATATAACTATTTCTATGATTAGCAAAACCGAAAAAAAAACAAGAAAAGAAAAGCAAAAATGTTCAATGAAATCCCTTGCTGTTATGTAAATTCTGTAAAGTTGTTTGTGCATGTTATAAATTTACTTTATACTTCGAATAGATATCACATTCAATACTAGAACAAGATTGTTATTAAACATCTTTCTTCAAGTTTATGCATTGTCACAATTCACAACTGAAATGTATAATCATTTCATTCCATTGCAGATAAGTTCAATTTAATTACAGATGGATTCAATTGAATATAACCTTTCATTAAATCATTTGAAGATAGACACAATTGATTAAAAGATAAGTACAATTAAAACATGTCCACAAATGATTTGAAGATACGTACAAATAAATTATGCCTATCCCTAAATCAATTATACCTATCTTTAATTCTTAGTGTTTGTACCCATCTTTAGTTCCGTTATAGATATCTTCAAATCCACTATATATATTTCAAAATGAATTAAAGATAGGAATAATTGAATTAAACCTATCTCCAATCCATTTAGAGATAAGTACAATTGATTTGAAGATAAATATAAATATTTGAAAACAGGTGCAAATCAAATAATTGTACCTATCTTCAATTAATTGAACCTATCTCTATATAAATTGAAAATAGGTACAATTTAATTAAAGATACGTCTAAATGAATTAAAGTAGGAGTGAATAATTACATCTATCTTTAAATAATTGAAACAAGGTTCAAATGAAATAAACCTATCTTTAATTCCATAAAAGATGGGTTTAATTTAATTACAGATACGTTGAATTGAATTATGCCTATTTTTAAAAGATTTGAAGGTAGATACAATTGATTTAAAAATAAGTACAATTCAATTAAAGATAGGTTCAATTCAATCAAAGAAAGGTACAATTAATACATCATAAAGGATTTAAAGATAGGATTAAGTCAATTATAAATAGGTTCAACTCAATTACACACATCTTGAAATCATTTATACCTATCATCAATTCCTAGTATTTGTACCTATCTTCAACTTAATTATACCTATCTTCAAAACAATTGTGCCTATCTCTAAATGAATTAAAAATAGGTATAATTGAATTAAACCTATTTCCAATTGATTTAAAGATATTCACAATTGATTTAAAGATAGTCACAATTGATTTAAACAAAATTACAAATATCTGAAGATAGGTATCAATATTTGAATATACCTGTATGTCAATTATGGCGTTTCATACATACCTGAGTATTTACAAGAACTCTTTACATGTTTTAATAGAAATTATCGCAGAAAAATAGAAAACATTCAAAATAATCTTGTATCAGATTAGATTATACAATTTTATATTAAACATGACATTTTCTGCACATTCAGACGTTTTCGACCTTAGAATTGCATCTAAAAAGACATGGTTTCTTACCCAGTCAAATAATAAACGATAAAGGCAATATTCTGTTATAAAAATTGTTATTACATGTAAGTAGCATTTGTTCAAAAAATTAAAAAGATATGAAAGTAAAACGATGGCAAATGAAATAACTTCATGTTTCAGATGGATTTATCCAACTTCACTCACTTGAAACTTGAATGCATAATACATAATGTTCACAAAAATATTTTAAACACTTTAATATGTGTGAAATGATGATAAAATTAAGGCTTCTAGGATTTAAATTCAAAATTTGCTTTAAATAATTAAAAAAAAAATATCAAAAATAACTAAATGTAGAAATGTTCTTCCTTATGATATAAAATCCTTACTCCATTTCTGTAGTTAATGAAAAAACACTGCAGAATAACCAAAGCGAGATAACTATTAAAACATGTAGTTTTAGTTCCTCAAGGCAGACAAACATGTAAATAAATAAATTTATAAAACATCATAAAATGATAATTATAGTGAATGAAAAGTGGAATATTCCATTTATATACAGATCACTTTCACTGTTTTATTCATCAGTAATTTACCAGTAATAAAGGAGACACCTTAAGACATCATAATCTTAAGATTTATAAATCATAATCTAAAAATTTATAAGTCATAATCTTTAGATTTGTAAGTTTACCTATCAAAGACCCAATAGGATTGAAATATATACCTTTCACTTCAATATTCTTTTTATAACGATACGATAAATAATTCTTATGTATGGAATACAGTTTTACTATATGTAATTTGCTATCGCCAAAATACCTTAACTTTAAGTGGAAATTCTAAAGCTTTCATAGCTTAGGTAAAAGACGAATTTTTCTTTGATACTTACAAAGATTTTAACACTGTTCTAAAAATAAAAACATTACTTAAAACCATATATAAATAGATACATAAAAATAAATATCAAATTAAAATGGTTAAAGCAATATGAATTGCATTTTTGAGAATTTTGTTTTGCAAGTACAAATCTATAATTATTGTGATAAATTTGTATGTAATTTTTAACTTTATGATCAATTAGACTAAAATAAAGCATTAAGTTGTTATTGTAAAATTGTTAAAGAATTAAGACTTCTGTGATAGATATGATATATTTTATAATAATATATTATATTAAATGTAGTATATAATAATTAATATTGTACAGGACGACAATAATGTAATTCTGCTTCAATCAAAGCATATAAATAGTTCTTCCTTCGCAAATATGAACAACAGAAGTTTATAAATGTTCTTTTTTGTGTCAATAAAATAGATAATTACAATTCTGCTACAAAAATTTCGGACATCAAAGTTGCAGCTCATATTGCTTTAAGTAAAACGAATATTACCCTGTTCATTCATTTATTGTATTGTCATTGTAACATTCGATAGGGACTACTTGCAATATACAAAATTTAGTTTGTCGCTATCAGCATCATTCTTCATAATAATATAATTATGTTCAAATATATGCATTTGTTCAATTATCAGATGCCACTGAACAGTGACTATCAACAAAATATTAGAAAACGTGACAAAGGCAGCCGAATTTTGCACGATTATAAGTATTTACTAAAAAAAACCTGTAAACACATTTTCAACTCTTACGAGGATGAACACAAAGGATGACATTTATCCACATTTGTCCAAAGTGGCTCAAATAATTTAGAAACTCATAGCATTGTGAATTTAGTTAAGTAAACATCAATACAATTACCCTATCGAGTTTACTTTTTCAAAAGGAATTTCAAAAACAGTTTTTGAAAATGTTATTCTCGTTACACAACTGACACAATAGGACAAACATTTCACCTGTCTAATACATATATTAAGGTGTTATATTGAGCACAGTGATGAGGTGACTGGAGAAATTGGTGGTGTGGATCAAATACTGGTACTTCCAGTGGGAGGTGGATAGCATGATGGTTGAGTTAAGCAAATAACAATAAGGTACATTAACAAAATGTACAAATTTTATGATTAATTTGTTTGAAAACCCTCGCAGTAAAATATTAAGTGTAAACTGCAGATTTTAATCATGTTGGCTCAGAGCTGTTTAAATTACTATCTTTCTACAAACGGACTGTGAACTCTCGACGCGTCAATTAACTGATCACTTTAGTGTACAACCTAACAAACACGCAGCATTGAGTATGAAACTGATGAGAAAAACGCTGATCACTTAACAATAAAATGTATATTTCCATTGAATTCATTTATTGTAAATTGGGTATGAATATTAGTAAAAAAAAAAAATGCGCATTTATAATTGTATTTTGCGTGAAGGAAATGAAGTGAAGTGAAAATGACAATCATCATATATTTTTACCCAAATATCTTTCTTCATCTATCATTTTTTGTGAAAATTTAGATAATTCTTACCAAAAGATTGTAATGTAAGTTGGTTGATTTGAATTCAAGGGAATCACAGTTTTAGGTAAGGGTGCCTTCTACACTTATAGAAGTCAGGGGTCTACACCATAATTAAAAAAATATGGTTTAAGTTTTAGTCCTGTTCCCTGAAATTACTATTGTAGTATTAATAAAATCTTGGTATCCATTTGACGGTTATACTTCTCACTTCCTTCTTCAGTGATTTAATTTTTTTTTTTATTTTAGCAGAATCACCATAACTTTGGCTCTTAAAAAGGGAATTGTACACTAGTTTTCAAACTATATTTCACTTTTCACTGTCAAAATGTATAATGTATGGAAAAACTGTTAAAAAGATGGATGATAAGACTTAGTCACTTTAACCTTGCAGTCAAAGTTTTAGTTGTTAGGATTTAGTGAATTAGCGGAATTCCACTGCAAAAATGTGTTATGTGCTATTTTGATATATAAAGTTTAAAGTAATTTTTTATGAAAAGGTGTGAATCTGTTTTGATGAAATTATTGTTTTTCATAGACACTTTGCCTAAACCTTTCTTTTGTTTCAGAAGCCATAAATTCCAAGCTCTTAGGAGCAACTCAAAGAGGTGTCCATAGTGATTCATTGTCTCTTATACATAGTGGCAAAGTATACTAACCCATATACTTATAAAGGGCTAACATTTGTTGTGACACTACTTTTCAATAAACCCCGTCCTTGATCTTAAAATCTACGTGTTTATATAAGATAAAATCAATTTGTTGTTTTCGTTTTTAAAATGAATTTCATTGAGAACTTCCCAATGAGATGATTGTTTAAAAAAGAATTTCTAAATACTTGTAGATTGTTGTTCAAGATAAAATTAAAAAAAAAAATACCCATTTAATTATTATTAGCCGATTTATTTTCCATACTTTAGAATAGATCATCAAATTGTCATTCACAATAAAAGGATGTTATTTAATATTTTGAATATATTCTCCCTTTTCCCCTTGAAACCAAATAAAAAAATCTTAAGAAATCTTTTTTGAGTAATTTACTAAATTATCTTAGAATAAAGATTTGTTTTTATAAAACCACACAGCGGAAAAGTGCATGTACCTGAGGAAAAATACTCGTAGCTGCAC